ATCAGCTCTGTTCATAAGATGTAATATATCTTTCCTAGCGAAAGGAAAGTTTGCCTATCTAAGGTCACCTACCTCTCGCTAGTGCTTACTGCGTTCTGAGTTTACCCGCAGTATCCTGGTACCCAGCATAGTAATATCGTGTTTCTTGCTAACAAGAGTTGAATAGTATTTAAAGCACTCCTTAACGAGTCTGGAGGTGAAAGTCCTATAAGAAAGGGCCTTTATGGCCGCCTGGCTATCTGAAATTCTATGTCTTAGATAGGAGTCTCTTTAGAATTGTACTGTGCTCGAATGGCCTCTGCATGAAGTAACTCGAAGCCTACTATCTGATTGCGCTGGCAGTTGGTGAATTTTCGATACAAATATCTAACAGTACTCGTTCATAAGACTGAACTTTTTTCGCATTAACATTCCTTGTCGAGAGAAATCATTACGACGAAGTACTCGAAAGCATCGAAAACTTTTTATATCATTGATAATCTGATGATCTGACTGATTATGATGATAAAATCTATAGAGAGCTTTGAAGAGTTCCGCCCGCGGGCGGTGTTTTTAGCTTAACTGGGCTAAGTTAAGGCAGAGGGACTTTAGCAATGTTCTTTCGATTTTCTTCGATGCCTTTTAGACAATTCAGTTGTTTCCATTTCTAGGTAGATGGTCCGCATCAAAATGCTCTTTCGCTATGGTTTCGGTTCCTAGACAGTGGGACATTCTTACGAACTGCATAGCCGACGACCTGCCAAGGAGAGGGACGGAAATATCCGAATCCAACTCTGCTCGAGACGTAAACACAGCATAAAGGCCGAAGTCATCAAGGAGGTCAACACCAGGTGGGCTGTGGAAACTACCTTTCATACTAGCAGGCGAATTTGCCCAAAAGTCGATATAAACCAATCCTTAGCTCTCACTCGGTTTAACCGCTCTTCTCTCAGAGTAGTAGTGGGGGTAATTACCGGACACTGTCATATGGGCACGCTTGGAAGGAGGTGCGATATCCAACCAACGATTTTTGTCGCAGGTTCAGAGACGAGGAATAGGTAGAGAGTATCGAGCACTATCTCACACAAGTACTTTTTCGTTGCTTAGCCGACCTGAACTCAACAAATATTCTCAAATTTTTGTGTTATATAAAACGCACTCCGCCAGTGGCCTTTTCAGCCTACGTGTGCCTCCGTGCTCCTGCACGCTTCCAACAATGGTTCATAAGATTTTTGCTGCCGCGTATTCAAAATCAACTTCGATTAGGTGCAACGGATGAGACTATTTTAAGACCATATCTGGCCTTAAAGCTGGCACATTATGTGGCCTCCGTTTGCTCACAACCTCACTGCGGCTACGACACAAATGGCCTCCACTGTTTGCAGAAGCTTCACATAGCAATAAAAGCACTCTCCCACGCAAACGGGTAAACAATTAACTTGAGGAGGATATTGTTCTTGCAGCCTCGAAGTAGTTCATCACTACGAAAGGAAAAAACCCCAACGATCATTATGAAAGGGACTTATTTACGTGGGCTCTTGGCCCATTTCTAAACATAGTGACTCAAACAAGTGACCACGTGTTGATTTTTTTTTGAATATTCACAATATTTTTCAATTTTTTTTAATTTGGAATAATTCAACGGATATTCATCGAAACTCGTTCTTTTTTATCTGAATCCTTAGATCATTTTTGGATATGCAGATTTATAGCCCACATAATTGTAGTGTAATGAAGTAAAAGTTTCATGCGGCTAATCGATCGCGTTGATTTTGTATAAGTTTTTTCCTGATGGATTTTTCCACTTTTTTCCATATATATATGTAAGCATGAATTTCTTATAAAATAAAATGCGAGAGGTCGTTTGCAACAAAATTAAAAAATAATAATCAACGGTAATTTTTGTAAATTTTACTTGTTATATTAAAAAAAACGCAAAAGTAGTAACCAACAAAAAAATACCAAAACTCAACGAGATTTTTTAGTCCGTTGAAACCTCAATACACTAAAATTGTAAGAACTATAAAGCTGCATGCCCAGAAATGTTCTAAATATTTACCTTAAAAATTTTGATATTTTGATAAAATTTGTCGAATTTTCCTAAAGTTTAAACTTTTATTTATTTGACTTTTGTTGAAGCTTGGACAATATTTTTATAGAAAAATTAAAAAAAAATGTACTTAAAAATATTGTGAACATTAAAAAAAAACTGAATTTTTCGTCCGACCTTTTAAGTCACAATTAAATAAATTTTTATATTTGCGCATTATAGAGTTAAAATTTTAATGTGTCAAATATGTAAATACATATGTAATTACAAGCAGGTATCGCATCGTGCAAAAATTTTCCTAATGCAATCGCAACATGAGAAAGAGTTTCAGGTGTCTGCGCAAACGCAATGAGCTAAATAATTTTCTTAGGTGCCTCTACTAGGGATGTTAATTTTTTCGCTTTTTACAATCCCGGGATTACCGGAATGTCTTTATCACAAACCTGGGATTTAGATATTCATTACTTTTCAACAACTTAAATACCATATAAAAAATAATAAATAAATGAGTTTGAAACTAACATTTATATTTAAAGTGGCGTTTTTATTTTTGCTCTCCGACGTCAGGATTTATTTTAAAGGTCCTTGTAATTTCAAAGATATGATTAATTCCAAAAATTATTTAAAAAAATCAGTTCAATGTAGAATAAAAATGTGGGTACCAAATGAAAGAAGAAATTTCTTTAGAATTAAAAAAAACATAAACATTTTTTGGATTCACAAGGACGAATAGGTAATTTTTTAAGCTGATAAAGTTAGAAGGACAAAATTTGAGGATTTTATCGAGTTTATATATATAAGTCCTTAACATTTAAATTTTTCAGAAATAAATACATATTGCGAAATTTCAAAGATAAAATTTAAAAAGGACATTTTCAATACTTATCAGTCCTTCTGCAACATAAACTTGAGTCTGTTTAAATTCTACAGAATGTCATCATTCATTTTGTACCCATACTTTTTCTCTAAGCACATTTCACTGAATTTTTTAAATCATTTTTAAATTACTGACGTCAGAGTGAAAAACTAAAAACGTAATTTGACTATATTTGGCCCATGGATTCCCGAATATATTGATTTTTGTGTGTAAAATTTACTATCGCGCGGTGTTATATGTATAATGAGCTAGACATTTATAGAAAAAATATTAATTATTAAATAAAAAAAAAAATTTATCCAAAGAAATATAGCCAATAATGGTCAAGAAAAGGAGTTTCTATTATCGCCATCGGAACCTAAAAAAACCGGGATCCCCGGGATTAACATTCCTAGCCTCTACATATGCTTGCACATTAGACCGTGCAAGCAAACAAAAAAAGTTCGACGTAAAATATAACAATTTTTTTAATTTTTCGGTGACACCTACATTCGACAAAAAATGTGTTTTTTTTTTAAATGGTTCTACTGGCATAATCGAAATACTTCCTTAGCAAAAGTTTAGTGATTTTTGGTAAGCTTTAATTTACAGACATTAGGGTGGCACGTTGGGGCGATCCGATTTGTGATCTGGTAGCTAAGTACTAGAGCAGGGTACTTTACTAATACTTTAAATTCGAATGTGAACTTATTTTTCTGGCTCGATCTAATGTACATACATATCTACAAACAAACAAACACATTTTGCTAAGTTTATCAAGAAAGTTCTTTTGTTTTACTAGTTTTCATGTTCGTCAAGATACTTGCACCTAAGTGAATAGAAACGTCAAATAACATGTACTTACATATGTACATACACACATACAAAATTTGAAGAATTTGACACGAAAATCTTGCGCAATTTTCGAGTTCAACGGAATTCTATGACGGCTCTGTAAATGTACCTTGCAAAGGTGGTAAATATGTATGCATAAACTGTGCCATATTTTTACCGTTTTTAATTGTAACCGAAATTTAAACCCCGAATTTGGTGTTTCTTTAGCAGTTTTGAGCAATTCGAGACATCCACTGGAGGTCTCTAATGCAAGCGCAGAAGGTGAAATTTGAAATTTGCCGCGGTAGAGAAGGTGATTAATGGTGTATGCACTCAAGTGACATGTGTGTAACGGTAAAGGTGCAATATTTGTATGTATGTAGGTATGCAGCTAGCAAGTGATCTTTTCTTGTTGCAATCCAGTAAAAAGAGAAGAGAAACCATTTTCAATTAAAAACGCAAGTATTTTATATGAAATAACTGTACACAAATTGGGTCAAGGACTTTTCGCTCTACGTATAATTTTTTTTATTCCAATTTGCATCAGAATTTGAGCTGTGCACAAATTATGTGAAACTATTTAAATTTAAAACTATCTAGTTTTCCTGCATACGCATAAAGAAGACAATGCAGCATAAAAGTAAAAATTCAAAAATAAAAAAAATGGCGCAACAAAGGACACGCCTCTCAAGGATATCAGCTAAACAACCCCTAAAGCATTGCCACAACAAACACCACAGCACACGTTTCGATTTCACTTTGTTTCACGTCTAGCAGCAAGCAAGGTGCTGCTTGTTATCCGTGCGCCTTGCCTTGTTTTGGGCTTTGTGTGAGCGCCTGAACACAGCACACCCACACAACGAAAGGCATTCAGGCGCGCATTTTCAACGAACGCTAGCGCTGCGCTCATTCACCACTTCCACCGGCCATTCATTCATTCGTGTGCAACACCACAAACCAATCCAGCCACGGCAACGGCCGCAAAATTCTTGCCCAAAAACCAGTTGCGGCGTTTTACGTACATATCAGTTCTTTTTGAACTACAACGCGACGCGGTAGCTTTGCAAAACGGTATTGCATAGTGTTCGGGTGCAACGAAAGTAAAAAAGCCAAAAACAATAAATTTTTTTCAAATCGTGTGCGAAAAAAATCACTAAAAGTGTATGGAAAAATTATAAAAAAATGTTTAAGAAATTACGCTTTATTACTTTGCTGGATGTTTCGGCATCAAGTTATGCAATAAAATAAGCATTGAACATATTATTCTACATATGTATGTGGTTACTGGATTTTATAAAAAGTGATTTTCAAAACGAGTGAATTAGCAGTGTAGTAGTCTTCTACGCTACAAATTTTCTCAATGTTTGATAAGAATATGGATACGACGCTTTCATCATCGCTACACGGTGGTGATTTAGATTCGACAAGTTCCGGCGGCACATCCTCTGATAATTCAACAGTTATACACGATAATATGCATTCACCCATACAATATGGTACTCTTTATGTGCCCAATTCAAGTAAGGAAATCTACAAAAATTCTTCAAATTTACATGAGAGGGAATATGATCGCATTATATTTAAAAAAAATATATAAAATAATTACACTTTACTACATCGCGGTCATGTCGAGAGGACTGAAAATGCTCTGTATGTTAATTTTCGTAACATTTTTTGGTTCCTGACACTAAAAAATATTAATTATTTCAACATTAAATCTTTTCATTTAAGACGTATGTAATCAACAGCTTTATACACTGAAAAAAATAATCCATATCGTGCTTGTCTCAAAATAAAAATACATATCGTAAATGGGTGGTTTTGCAAAAACATCGACGATATATCTAATTTGGCGCCTCTATGGCCTCTGAGCAACTAATTGTTCACATATGGGGTTTTACTCTAAAACCACTTCATATGGACGGCTAAAACCGAATCAATTTTGTGAGCTATTTTCTAAATAATCATACAAAGCCTACTGAGAAAATCGTCAATCCTATACCACAGATTGTTCAGCTACAGTTTTTTACGAATTATTTTGCGGTTTACATATCAATCATATACAACCGTGAAAATCATTAAGATCCCTGCTTTATTAGGTACATCTTCCATAACACTGATTGCTCAAATATGATTTTTATTATAACTCCTCTATCTATGTGTGTACATAGCGAAGGTAAGCAACTGATTTAAAATACAGTAATAGGTGGAAGTAGAATTTTCTGATGTTCATGTCCTTACTTCTTTCATTTCGTCATAGACCAGACAAGCATATCTTGCTCAAGCAGAGAATTTTCATTTTTTTTCGATTCACAATGTAAAACAATTTGGTCTTTTTCTCCATTTTTTCTCATTAATGAGGCGTGAATGAGGCGATTTGTCATACACAACGCTAATACCATGTTCTGACCGACAACGAAAACACTTTGAAAACGTGTTTTGGGATTGTGGGCTGAAGGCTGTTCACACCGGCTGTTAGTGTTTTCGTTGACATTTCTTACATCCTCTGATTACAGTTTTGCTACACAAAAACCAGGACCAAAATGCTTTTCCCTCATTTTCTTTTCATTAGCAACCTCTTACTTTCATTCTTATTTTACTTTTGCCAGCCAATTAACAATAAATCCGAAATGGTGTATTAAAGATGATAAAATATGACTGCCACTTCGATAAATAATCGAAAAGAAATAGTGCAGACACCGATTGGAATGAGTGGAACGTGAGTTTTCAAGTGGTTTTCAGCGAAAACTTGTTTTCGTTTGACAGATTTTACATGGTCGAAAACACAAATTTTAGGTCGAAAACCAGTTTTAGCAACGAAAACATGTTTTCGATGTCGGTCAGAACATGGTATAAGGGTTTGATCAAAATCAACATGGCGCCCAGTAGGAAATATCGAAAAAAAAATCTAAAGCGCGGAGCTAGAATAATTGTACGAGTGTAATTTTTTTCGTTTTTCTTTAAATATCTTCAATTTCATAGTTTTGATGAGATAATTTAATATTTTTATTAGAAATTCACTAGGTCGCGTGAGAACTTATCAGCATAACCTCAAAAAAATGTGTCTCTATTCAAAAATAAGAAAAAGTGAAAATTTCATTACTGATCCCCCTAAACTCTTTCGAAGAAACTAAGTAAAGCCTATGGTCCTTAAATAATTTGGTTTCAAATGAGCCTCAATCTCCATTTTAGGTAGAAATACTTCCTTCGGTTTTAGTTCACTCGTATGATAATTGGGCCAGGTTTAGGTACTCACAGAGCTCTCACTTTTGGTAGGGGTTTTAGCAGGTCACTGTCTAATCGGTATTTACGCAGTAAAAGTACAACTCCACAACAAGATTTTCAGGCGTTCAGGGCTTTTCAGGCTTTCAGCAATAGCTGAATTATATAGCTGAAAGCCTGAAAAGTACGGAACGCCTGAAAAGCTTATTGTGAAGTTTTATTGTATGGCGGAGCAGGGTTGTCGAGAGAAAACTCGGGCCCTGGACTAAATAATTACGGATCCCTATACATAGATTGTATTAATTTAAAAGCATATGATAATTTTCTTTAATTTATAGAGTCAGAAACTCAGCACGAATCGGAATATATTTATAATAAAAGCCTCTAACACAGGAGCAATTAGATTGCAGAAAAAAATTATAACAAGTTGTGGTTCTGATAGTTCGGGCCTCTTAAAAGCCCGGGCCGGGGGGATTCACCCCTTTCCCCCTCCCCTCGACGGGCCTGTGGTTGAGCATATTACCGGACCCCGAATGTCGCAGTTACCTGGAAGATGACGAGGTGGAATCACCTCAACCCTACCTTCTTAGGTGCACTGTGTCGATTAAGTATTGGGTGCCGTTCAGAATGTGGTACCACAAAGGAGAATCTCCTAATTGTGTAAGTGAACCCCGGTTACATGGGCTGACACCTAACATGGGCAAGCTGTAAAGCATTTCGGCTGGAAATATTTTGTCCAGTCCCGGAGATTTGTAGAGGTGGTAGGACATTATAGCTCATTCCATCTAGTTATGGCTTATAATGTCGCTTATAAAGCTGTCTAGGGTAGAGGTAGAACTGAGTCTAAGAGTCTAGTGGTGTGTAAGGCAGCAAATTTTCGTGCACTGGTACCAAGAACCCAGCGCCATGGCCGGTATCGACGCAATGGGTTAGCGCAGTTGCGCCATTCCGCTTAAGGAAAAGTACATGTGGGCATTTCCAATCTGACGTGACGAAATGTTAAAAAATAAATTGAAAACGTCAAAATTTAAAAACTCTGGGAATTCGTTAAAACTATTTGTTTAAAATTTTTTGTAGTAATATTTGAAATATTTAAAGTTAATTCCATGTTCCAAAATTTAAAAATTTAAATGAAGTGCGGAAAAAGTAAATAGAATCGGCTAAGAATCGACCAAAAACGGCCGATGCCGATGCCGATTAATCGGTCGGACGCTAAATTTTATGTCGAATATATTTTTTTTATTTTGGCTTCAGCGTTACTTAGCGTTCCGTTTTCTTTTCGTGGTTAGGGCCAGTGATCGAACTTCTACAACAATGTGGTAGATCTGCCACTTTTTTGAACATCTACCACATATTCGAGTTTTTGAGTACCTCGTTTTATTTTTGCACTACATAATTTTCTTAATTTTAAGAGCACAAATTGTCCAACACTAAACGCTTATGGTAACAAGAATGATATACATAATACAAGATTCCGCATTCCCGGCGGCTATGAAATTTCTCAAGTAAAAGTAAACAAAGCCGAATGGAAGGATAAAATAAACTGTAAAATAGTATATTTTCTCAATAACTTATAAAAAGAATTAATAGCGAAAATGTTAATAAACTGCTATTTTTGTGAAAGTATTAGCAAATTTCAGTGCATCTTAAGTTTCTGAGGCGTTGTTTACATTTACTTGAGAATTGTCAAAATCGTGCCACATTTGTTCGCTACATCGTGATGTGATAAAAAGAAAAGCTGGCAGCACTCCGCAAGGTTGCAAAATATGTTTGTTCAAAAAATATCTTGATATAGAAGGAGCTACTTTACACTGTCAAGGAAAAAAATTGCCAAAACTTAACGCAAGTTTTAGCAACTTCATATTACACTTTGTTATACTGAAATTAATTTTTTTTTTTTAGTCTAATTAAAATTTTTGCAATTTAGGTGAAACCTTGCAGAAATTTTTGAATTTTTGTACAAAGTTTGATCCAAAACCTGAGATCTACCACATTTTTTTGAAATCTTCCACATTTTTTCCAGATTCTACCACAGAGAATTTTTTTCAAGTCCGATCACTGGTTAGGGCTCGAATTAATTCAGAGCCCACTCTTAAGTCCCAAAGTTTGCACAGCCATAAAGGTTCACGTATTTTACAAGATTGCAGACTTGAACATTCTTCGAGGAATAAATGCAAACTTGAAATTCTGACAACGTTGAAGTTGATTTTTCATTTTAATAGGCATGTCATTATTTTTTTTGGATTACTTACCCCTTGACAAGGCTCTTTATAGGATCTCAGAAATATAAGAACTCCAAATGAATGTTCGTAGGTATGCATGCGAGCGTATGTGGCGCTAAAAAAGATCAAAAACTTCACCAACTGACAGCATAAAAATCAGAAAACTTAGCTTGCATTGGCGCATTTCTAAAGCATTAGGTTACATGTGGACGACAACAACAATTTCAACGAAAAGCATAATAATGAAATATAAACCTAACTCAAACTAAACACCTAAAACAGTTTATTACTCGTATTTACATACATATGAATTTTATTTTATTTTCTATTTAAATAAAATACTTACATACATTTGAACATATACAAATATGAATGTAGTACGTGAGGTGGACGAACATCGGATGAGCGTTAAGTAGTTTGATGTTGCGCTGCTAGGTGATTTTGGACTGGCTAATAACACAACGATCTCTCAAGACGGAATCTGTTTCTACCAAAAACAATACGGTGATCCTCAAAAATATCAACATCAAAAATCCAGTGTTTGAAAAATTTTAAATTTTTTATATCTGATAAATTTTACATATTGTAAAAGTAAAAATTTTGTCGAATTTTTGCGATTTACAAAAAATAAATTTGCTTTTTTTTATTTTTTATTTTCGTGGATGGCTTTAGTTAGAACGTTGAAGCAAATAAATGGGTGCCCCATTTTGTCGATATATTAAGGACCACCCTTATAAATAGCGTACCGTAAAATTCGAACTGTCCCACTACCACGATTGATATTTGCGCCTTTGTGAGCCTAAGAAGTGTCCCTGAGCATCTGCGCTGGACCTTTGCAGTTGCTTAAGCTCTGGCTTTCGGTCACCACACACTGAATTGCAATTAGTCCGATTTATTTATGAGCAATCCGCATATAGTTAAAGGTATCTACCAACTCTCATCCTGCTCTTCCTCGATGAGATCAGGAGTACCTATGTAGCGAGTCAGCACATCCACCATGCAATTTTTTGCAATATCATGGTGGTCTAGTGCAGAGGATAGGTCAGGCATTCCTCGACTATTCTCGAGAGCATTGTAAGTGAGCGGAAGGCCTGGATTCCAATCTGCTAACAGAGTAAATGTTCAGCTCCCTTGTCAATATTACACAAACGACTGCATTCTTAGTGGTAGGTACAAACTCTGCAGTGGTCTGATAGCTTTATTTGAAGCGTAGGAAAAGTTCTTGGCAGAACACACTTCCGGCAACTCTTTTGTCAATTAACGACCACTCGATTAAAAGTTAATTAGTCTTTCCTCCCGCTCATGCTTTAAGGGGATGTGAATAAAGTGAGACAAGAACTCCACGTCAAGCTTTTTAGGCGTTGTGGCTTTAAGCTCCGACATACATACAAATCAAAACTTAAACATAACTAAATAAAGAGCTGAAAGTCTTTAAATCTGTGCTCGCCTGGAAGGGTTTTTGTGGAGTTCAGACTCTAAGAGCTGCTTGGAGCGAATATAGGTACGCAGAGATCTTTGTTATCACGGATGCAGTCCCAGCTTCCAAGAATATGGGAATATTAGAATATTGAAACCCTGATTCAACTAAGCACTCAGAGCTTCTAACCGATCTCCCTAAATAGGCGCGTTTAGCGTAGCGCGCGAATGCTCATCTCTGTCTGAAACATAAAGTTCTTGCTGATAAAGACAAGCTGATAAGCGTAACGCTCAACGCGCTTATTTAGGCAAGCAGTAACTCTGAACACTGCACAAGATTTAAGTATTCTAACCTTTATTTACAATGCATACATATTTCCCCAACACTTTTCCAAATTTTTCCAGATTATCGCGGTAATATCTCCTGCAAAACGGTTCTACATTTTGACAAATTCTACGCCAGTGATAAAGAGATCGAGCGAAGATTTTGCGATATTACCAGTGATTATGACAAGTCTCCACCGCCTACCGCTGCGGGTTCACCGCTATATCCCGCGCTGAATGGCGTCATCTATGAAAATGGCGTCGGTGATCACAATGGTAATACTAAAACAACGCTCGCCAATGATGCGCTAAACAGCGGCATTAATCGTACAACAGCAATAGGTTTGAGTGGGGGCAGTCAACTGATACCCGGCATAACAACAACACATGGCATGTCAGGTGGATTCCAATTGGATCGCAAGTTTTTACAATTCACCACAGATCAGGTTAGCGCAAGCTTTTTGAAAATCTATTAAGTAACATTTTCTCTAAAAACGCATTTTTTTATTCGCTCTTCGCAGATCCAATGCATGTGTGAGGCGCTGCAACAAAAGGGCGATATCGAGAAGTTAACCACCTTCCTGTGTAGCCTACCCGCCAGTGAACTGTTCAAGACGAACGAAAGTGTGTTGCGCGCACGCGCACTTGTCGCCTATCATCGTGGTCAATTTCACGAGCTCTACAACCTACTGGAAACGCATTGCTTCTCAGTGAAATACCATATCGATTTACAAAATCTTTGGTTCAAGGCGCACTACAAGGAAGCAGAGAAGGTACGCGGACGTCCTTTGGGGGCGGTTGACAAATATCGACTACGTAAAAAATATCCATTGCCAAAGACGATTTGGGATGGTGAGGAGACTGTGTATTGCTTTAAGGAAAAAAGTCGAAATGCTTTAAAGGATTGCTATATGACAAATCGTTATCCTACGCCGGATGAGAAGAAAACGTTGGCGAAAAAGACGGGTCTTACGCTGACGCAAGTGTCGAATTGGTTCAAGAATCGAAGGCAACGGGATCGAACGCCGCAGCAAAGGCCGTGAGTAAACTTTTTGTTAATATTTCGAGATTTTGTTAGTTTAAATCGTGATAGGAATTTTGCTGTGCAGATATTTCCAATTAAGCCTGTCTGTGCTATCGTCGTCGAAGTCGAAAATTGGTTCGTTCTCTCTCGAGCGAACTTAGAAATCTTTCTCGGGATTTCGGATTCACTATTTTAATTATGAACGAAATTTAACTATGGCAATCGAAATTTAGCATAGCGGCTCCTATAATCCCAGTGCAGAGACTGTTATAATCCCAGTGCTCAGGTCTTACAATAATTTTTTCTCGGTAATTTTTTCCCAATAAAGCCGGAATAGCGCCAGTTGCTTCCTTACTTCTGCAGAAATCGATAGGCGAGACTTCGAATCCGGCGAACTATTGAGAATCTCAGTGAGTTCTTGTGGTCTATCCGTCATTTTTAGACCAAAACGAATTAGGCAGACATACTAGAGTGTCCACCCGATTTTGTTAATTTTCTTAGAACATAAATCCGATTTCAAAAACACACATACACATTAGCATTGTAAACAAAATCACACAGTAATCAAATCAGAAAGCGTGGACGATAATCATTTCAATACGTAATTAGCTATAACGCTCGCCATTAGCTCGTACAAATCGAAATGAGTAATTGAATGAATAAATGCGTTCTACTTTACATATTTAATACGACTACATACTACATTCATATATACATACATTCGTGTACATTAGGTTGGCTCAGAATTTTTTTTTTGCCCTCTTAATTGTTTCCCTTTGACCTATAGTCAAAGATTTAGCACCAAAACTCAAAATGATATTGTTTGCAACTTATGTTTACTTATTTATTTTTTATAATGTTCATTTAAAAAAATTATAACAGAAACCACATAGATATGACACAAAGAGCGATAGTAAATGTTTTCTTACACTCATTTTAAACCAGGGTTGTGCCTGTAAAATATTTACATTATTTACAACAATTCTTTACTGTAAACACTTAAATGTAAATATTTACAGGGTGATATTTTTATTTTTGGACCAAAACTTCAATTTCAAATCGGTACGGGTTATAATCATCCTACAGCAAAAAAAAAACTTTATACATTTCGTTTTGTTCTTTTGGTCAAAGGGAAAAAAAATAGAACGACTCCTTATGTTCAGCGACTCCCTAGTGTATATACGTACATACACATATAGATATGTATGTATAGTAGGGTGCAATAAGTTGTGATTTTTCCACCATAATTATAAAATTTATTGTCAGCCTTATCATGAGTTTCATTTTCCCCGAACCGGTTCACTTTTCACATTTGGTTTCCACATATTTACTATGGACGGAATACAAATTTTCGGGTGAATTTTTTTTCGGGCAAAACTCAGGATAAGGCAGATTATTTTGATTCCGTTGATCGAATTTTTAAATATATGTATGTATGCAGACCTTTAAGCTGCAAAACCTCTGAAGTTATTTTTCAGGAAAAAAATTTTTAAAAACTAACTTTATCTATTTATAAAAACTCGATTTTAGGAGGTATTTTCAAATAGATCCAGCTAATGTAAATCCTAAAATTTGTCCAAAATATTTTAGCGAAAGTTTTAAAATATAATAAGTTTCATATTCCCGATGGACAACAAATACCAATTTTTTTATGGAGAGTGAAGCACCCTAACGTACAGTAAAAAGTCCAAAATGCATCGTTTTCGAAAAGGTTTCACATTACAAAAATGCTGTGGAAGAAAAAACGATCCATTCATTGGCCTGAAGTCCATAGACAAGCAACCGAAGGCAATACGCGCGTCAAAGGCACAGCGGGCAGCCACTTGACGTTTTCGAAAGGGCGAACACGCGCAAAGTGGTTACTCGTAACAATAAATGAAAATCAAATGAGCAAAACTCAAGAATTTCCCTATAACTCATAAAATATTGGCTAGCGATTCGCCGGGTGGTAGACGACGTACTGTAGATGCAGGCGTCGTTACTTAATGCGGAAAATTCAATCGAACCAAATTGGCATTAAAAATCTCATTCATTACAAACTGACCGAACGGGCAAAATTAAACAAAAAAAACTCAGAATTTTACATTTGTACCTACATATGTATGTATGTATTTATGTATGTATGTATGTAGCCAAGTAATATTGGATGTCGAATCGTGCTGCTTGTGAGTGGGGACACACGTCCTATTTCCTGTTGGATTGTAGTATGATTACATAGTTTTATTTTATTTTTGGCGGCTGCGTGAATTCAATTTACTCATTTAGCACTTGAGTGTGTTTTATGTGCCCATTTGCTTGGTTGTGCCGCGATGCGGTTCGTTGGCGGGCTGAATGCAATTTTGTTATACTTTTATTTTAATACATTTTCAGACATTAAGTCGCCGCCACAACCGTATGTAGCATTTGCTTGTGTGTGTGTGTTTTAGTAGAAAAATTTACGCATGCGCAGCGCATGTGCCTCCAGTGCAATGTCATCAGCGTCAAAACTGCAGCAACGCGGTACGCACAATGGGACGTCGATGTGGCACAAGTTTTTTATTTAAATTTTTTTCATAGTCAAGTGTGACAATTGAAAATTTGACCGTTTTGGGTCAGCATGTGTTTTCCATTAGAGCATTGCAATGCGCCTATTTCTATTTAAAATTTGACGAATTTCGAAGAAGCATACAGTTTTTAAAAATTTTAGTTTTCCTAAAGTTGAAAAAGTGCGCGTGCGTAAAAATATCTTAAACTTTTTACCAACCACTTGTACATTTCAGCTCATCCATATGATCGAGAGCACGATTTGTGAGAAAAAATATTTAGGAAATTTGACTCCTTATTAGCACATTAAGGCAATAAGGAATTCCGCAGCATATTAACGAGTCGAATAATCTCTCCATGGTACCCTGTCGAGACTATTTTTGGGGGAATTGAATGATATATACTTGCTTCAATTAGTCAGAAAAATATACATTTCACTAGGTGCTAGTCCACTTGTGTTTAGTATATAATCAGCATTCTAATGTATCCAACAAATCGCATACATTTCTCGATTACCAAGTATTGCAAAAATGAATGCCCCTATTTTCTTACGACAACGTCTTTTCGAATGTGAAAAGGGTTGTTTTACTTATTATTTTTTCGATTACCATACATTACATTTTCCCACTAGCAAACTTTTCCGTGTGTGCCCATCAGGCAGTGTCCGGTGGTTCCGCCGACTACTAATGTGAGAGAAGGCGGCCCAGCCGAGTGAGAGCTATGGATCGCTTTACATTGATCATTGACCAAATTTTGCTGGGCAGCGAGGGGTTTCCGCAGCCCATCTGGTATTTACTTCCTAGATGAGTTCGGCCTTTAGTCTGTGTTTGCAGGAGGTTACAGGTATGGCCGCATTTTGAGCAGATATTTAAAAGACAGTGCATTTTTCTACGATTGCTATTTTATGCGCGCACACTATGACTTGAAACTAGGCGGCCTTTAGGATTAGAAGTAGATTCAAGAGTAGAGCAGAGAGAATGCCCCCTTGGGGAGTGCCTCTGATCATGTACTTTGTAATGGAGCCGTCCTCCAATTCTGAAATAATAGTTCGCTTGTCGAGAAGCAACCCAACAAAATCCACCAGACCTCGTTGCACCCCCACCATAAGGAGGGAGTTAACAACAAACTTTGGATAGACATTGTTGAAAGCAACCTCGGTATCGCGAAAAACCAATCCGTTTCAATCGTCATTCCACCACTTCGTGAAGTGCGATCTCCACAGATTTTTCTTTGGAATATTCATGCTGATTCGATGAGAGGTTGTCATTTTTTATATAGTTTTAAGAAAGAATAGGCCTGAAATCCTTGGGTTTTCCATGAGCGATAGATAGACAAGCTTCGAATTTGCCCACTCGTATGGTATGTGAGTTAGGGTTAGGCAGGCTATAAAAATCTGAGAAAGCAGAGGGCACAGTATGTGCTGAGCTTCTGTAGTTGGGCGGGAAAGACCCGTCAAGTACAGCAGATTTTTAAGGCTGGAAAAAAATTAAAACCCATTTCACCCTCTCATAACTTAATACGTCCCTACAGTATCACCTAAGGACGAGTAAGTCCCAGACCCGGTGAAGTGCCGGACGTGTGATCCGAGCAACCCGGGAAGTGAGTGCTCGTAAGGCCCTCTAGCATTTCATTGCGTGATGATGTCCAGTCAGCGTTAGGCTTCTGGATAGAGTTCATATTTGAACTCAGAACTTTTCTCAGCCTATAGGCTTCAGAGTTCTCTGCTATGTTGTTGCAGACGATTTCCCAAGAATCGCGCTTCGCTCTCTTTATGGCCTTCTTGGAAAATTTTAGTGTATCCTTGTACGGTTGCCAAAGGCCGGTTCGCTTGGATTGATTGAAAAGCCTCCTGCTGTTTTTCCTCAATGCTGAAATATCTGAGGGTATATTTTATCCCTTCGGGAGGGTGCTTTGGCAGGAGGCCCTTAAAACAGAATTACAGATATATGTCACACAGTTCACTGCTTCTTCAATTTTTGACGATGAGTCCAGCTTACCGAATGAAACAACATTCATGTTCGAGAGACTCGCTTCATGAGGCCTTAACGATAAGCAAGACTGATTGTGAGAAGCGTAACTATGTAGTGGGGCCGACAACGAATATTTATACGTGGGGGGCCAAGATGGCCTAAATGAGTCCCTTAGTTTCCAGAATAGCAGCAATCTAACAAGACCGTGTCAAGACTGTATGGGCATTTCAAGAAAACTGAAGATTTGGATTGGAAGGACAGGCATAAGCACACATGCTGTTGTTGTTGTAGAAGTGATCGGCAGGTAAAGTAACGCGAGGCACAGCCTCTTATGTACTTAAGGTAATGGGATCATCGATGACTCCAATTCATGCGATACAAATTAACTACTAAAAGATTATTCCGACTATAGTCTTCACAACAAAATACATAGTTTCCCTGATTTAAAAAGTTGTATAAATAATTTTATTCACATACATATCCTTTCTCTTTCCAGTGACATCATGTCTGTCCTGCCTGTACAACAACTGGATGCCAATGGCTTTCCACGCATGTTTAACGCCCCCAGTTACTATCCAGAATCGATTTTTAACACTCAATAACATAAGGTCTTGCAGTTTTAAGGATGGTTGGTTTTTATTAGGAAACACGCGCTATGCTTAAATTATAAATATTTTTAAAATTCTGTTTAAATTAAAGAAAAAACATAAGCCCATTAAAAATGGCAAACTAGCATAAATGTTTTTAACATAAATTTATGTAAGGCTCAACTATATAATAAATAAAATATTTATGTCATATGTTAATGTACAATAATTTTTTTAAATTGCAATACATTTTAAATTTTTAAATAAATTGTAGGAAATACAAAAAGAAAACATTATCGAATAGCGGGAAAAATTCAATTGAAACATAAGCATTTTTTTAATAAATGTTAAATAAATTAATTCATTAAAAAAAGCTTAACAAATAATTTTGTGTTTCAAATAGTTCTATTTTGTGTTAGTTTTGATAACAACGGAAGATGCTTGCATCAAAAGAACATTTAGCATCTACTCAGAATCTCATGCAAAAAATATAAGCTTTTTTATTAATCGCAGGTAACCTATCACAGATCTAGAAGGGTTTAATCATACTTAGATTGATTCAAACTATTGATGGAGAGGCCGATCGCCGGGTACTTATGCAATAGGTGGCCTTCAGTCTAACATAGAGGGTCAGAGTGTATTGAAGTTGGCTGCAGAAATCCTAGGTTTGTTTGTGTGAAATGCAAAAACGACAGTCTGCAGCTAACTTCACTTCCTAACACCCTGTCAAATTCAGATTTTCCAACCGCTCAGCGTTGACGCCGCATTATTTCGGTACGCTTTATACAAATTGTATGGCCATGAGAACTTTTTGACAGCCAGACAACGCTGACGCTTCTATTTGATTAGGCAACAACAGCTTCCCCTTAAAATGAAATGTCACTTTACTCTCAATTCCCCCTAACAATATGTAGATTGCTACTTACACTTACTTATGCAAGTGTTTGGCCGAGCTCCGAACGGCATTCCCACGACAGCCGGTTTTAAGTATCGGAATGACTAGGGTTTTACCCGACCAAGGCTGTTGTTTCGGCGATCTAACCCCGTTTAGGTCAGCGAAATCCCTCAAAAGTTGTACGTCTATAGGGCTACTTCTTCTTCGCATACTTCTGCTCAGGGCTGGTATTGAGTCAAAGCCTGGACCAGAAACATATACCTGCTGCGTGTGCCAGAGACGATTATACCACAACTCCACCTCCGTCAGATGCAACACATGCAATGGTTGGAGCAATCTCCGAGTTTGCTCAGGCCTCACGACTCACAGGCAATGGACCACTGCGTACGTGGCCCCTTGCTGCGCCAATCAAGCTGCCTCCACGGCACAACAGAATTCGCATGAGCAACTCAACACAAACACAACCGCACCACAATACAATACAATAGACAATACCATAGACACAACAGACCACACCACAGATACAACTGCACCAGCACCCACACGCCACCGCCAACAACACTTAGTTCTCCCGACAATCTGCACGGTATGCCAGTCCAGGATATTCCGTAATGTGACATCAGTCAAATTCACGTCGATGATACACCAATTTCGACGTTGAACAACCCGAACATACTCGGAGTAATATTCGATAGTCTGATCTCCTTCTCGGCGCATACAACCGCAATTGTCAACAAAGTACAAAGGCGCAACAAGGTCCTCAAGTCGCTAGCCGGCAGCACTTGGGGCAAAGACAAAGAAACGTTGATGGCAACGTACAAGGCAATTGGCCGGCCGGTTCTGAACTACGCTGCGCCAGTGTGGTCATCGGGGCCTAGTAGGACGCAGTGGATGAAGCTGCAGACTTGCCAGAACACGGCACTTAGGACAGCCACAGGATGCCTCTTGGTGTCGCCGCAACACCACCAGCGCGAGGAGGCCCACATGCTCCAAGTTAAATAGCATAACATAATGCTCTGCAGGCAGTTCCTGGTTGGGAGCCACACATGTGGCCACCCAAACCGGCAACTTCTTGCAGAAGATTCTTCGCTCAGGCACTTCAGAAGGCATCTCTACGAACTGACGGATGAAGTCCAGAGGTTCATCAAACAACCTCTGGACCCGAGAGCATATCGACAGGCCTTGAACGTCATTCACAGAGAGGCAGTCTCGAGTTATGTAGACTCCCGCCCTGTGAATGCCGTTCTGGGCGCACAATCACCAGGCGTGGACGAGACAGAACTTCGTCTGCCTCGGGAGATTCGGACCACAATAGCCCAACTGCGCTCTGGTTACTGCAGCAGGTTGAACTCATACCTGAGCAGATTAAGCGAAGATATTCCAAACGAATGCCCGGCATGTGGAGAGTCGCCCCATGGCTCACAGCATCTCTTCGCATGCCCTCTAAACCCCACCACACTAACGCCCCTGTCCCTATGGACAGACCCCGTCGGGCCTGCGCGCTTTCTAGGGCTGCAGTTAGTGGAGCTTAACGTCAACGACACAACAACAACAACAACCAGGTATGAATCCAGGCCTTGCGGAGTGGAAGCGCGCACTGCCGCCCCTAATTTTTGATAACTTTCAATGATTAACAGGTACGCGAATGCAACTAATATGTTGGGCTTTAAAATATGAAACATAATAAAAATTAGGTACATGATAAATGAATTATCTTTATTTTGACACAAAACTTTTTTATCAATTATGTAGTTCATAAGACATAATATTAAAAAAAAAAAATAAAAAATAATACTAGAAGGCCCCGGAACCTGAAAGTGGTTTTATTTGAAAATTAGAGCCCAGATTTCCAATGGCACAGTTAAAATTTGTCGCCCTAGTTATCGCAATCTCCTCTAAAATTCATACAAATAAGAAGTTAATGTAGTTTACATTTATTTCTAAATAGTTCCATTCAAGGTACATTGAACAGGTAGTATCAGTAGAGCAGCTGATTTGA